TGTTAGCTGAATACTATGAATGAAAATCAACAGGCTAAAGAACACTTACACAAGGATGTGTGTGTAGCAGAGAAAACAGCCCGCGAGTCTTCTTGACTTGAATGGTTTAAAATCACATTGAAAGTGTAGTTTGTAATAATAACTAAGGTGGACTCCAGGGACATTTTCGGTAGGAAAAAAAAGAAGCATTTTATTTAACATGTTAACACAGGCTTGGGAATCCAAAATCTATTCCAATTCTGGAATAGGATGCTTAAGGTCAGGAATCGTGTAGTTGTTATAAGATAAAAATTTTGATTCTTCTTATTGCTTCCTTTGTGCGCGTTTTAATATGACTTTAAACCATTCTAGCACAAGAAGACTCATGCACTGTTTTCTGTACTGCACACAGGAGCGTAGCCATCATTTTAGAAATGAGGGGGGACAGAAATGTAAAAAAAAAAAAAAAAGAGAACTAATTTTGACTTTCTTTTTTCTTATATCTTTTAATTGGCTAAGAAATCAAATACACTGCTGGACGATAACCAATCATTTGTATTCTATAATATTTTTTTCTGTGTTTTTCTAATGACAATTTTAGGATTGGCTTATACAAACACATAATAAGGCAGAATAGTTTCTATATTGTTATAAATGTTATGTCAATTAGCACTGCATTATTCATATACTATATTTATTACCTGGAAATGACCTGAAATTACCTTTTTTTTAGCTACAGCCATAGCTGGATGCCTTTGTCCATATTAGGGATTTCCTGCAAGTCATAAGTTATCATTATATTACTTCTACTTGGCCGTTTTGGACTTTCTGCGCGAGAGCGCCCTCCGCAGTGTTGCCAAGTCCGTGGTTTTCCCGCGGAATTGGGCTACTTTATCACTGTTGCCGCAGGTTAAAGCGACCCCGATAACGTGATATGTAGCCCCTGGCCTGGAGTGCGAATTTTACCAGGGGAACCCTGCCAGAAACGTGTATTTTACCCCCCGGAATGCGATTTTTAATGGGGAGCCCCCCTCGAAATGCGATTGGGCTAGTTTTGAGTAGCAATTGGGCGGGTTTTGTTGTGAAAAACTGGCAACCCTGGCCCTCCGGCTTAGAGTATGAATGAAACGTGCACTCACTGCATGTTCACATCATCTTGTTTTGGATATGAATAAATCGTCTGGTCATACATAGACTACCTTGTTTCTTTGCCCATGTGCACACACATCCAAAGCACGCACACAGAAAAAGTGATTTAAAATGCATCTGATTGACAGATAAATCATGGTTGATCTATCAGCCAGATGCACGTAAAAATGCATGCGCTCTTATTTCAATGTTGTTGTTAATGTTGAGGTTATTTTAGCTTTATACATTTAGTTTAAAGTTTGGGAGCCAAATGCGTCCTGTGGGAGCCAAACTGTGTCCTTCTATCAACCGAGTTTCTATTTACTTATACTGCTGTGTAATATCAATGGTATGACCCATTTCAGGAGCTGACAAAATTACGATTTAAAATCAGAGCATAGCTCACAATCACTAAAATATTAAAACGCTATGCTGATTCAAAACGACAACGCCTGTGATTGACAGTCAAAGCAAAGCGTGGTTTGAACGCCCCGCCCCCCAGCTGAACGGGAAGTTTTGATTGGTTTTGCACCCGAGTCAGACCTGTCTGTTATTGGCTGAAGAGCAGGGCTCCACCCCAGGAGTTTGAAAAGTGCCCGTCAAACGCCGGCTCGCTCTGTTTCTCCATCGGTGCTCCATCGATTTTTTTTTTTGTACTTTGTACTTTTGGTGAAAAATAAATGTAGCGAAGTTGAATACTTTAGTTTTATTTTACTCAAGTAAAAATACCACAATTTAATTATACTCAAGAAAGTAGAAAAAATTTACTCAAGTACTGTAACAAAATAATTTGTAATTAGTTACTTTCCACCTCTATAATTGTAATAATAATTGTATTTTTAATGTTTAATTTTAATATTGCCTATTTATTATTCATCAGCCGTAACATAAAAATGATTAACATTATTAACCATAAAATGATCGGCTATAAAAAGTGCATTAAAATGTTTTCCTTTCATTCGCAGTAGCATCTAAATAAGTTGATATGATTTTTTAAAAATAATTATTTATTTATTTATTTTTCAAAGTTTACATTTAATATTAGCCATTTATCAACTAGCCTCAACATGAAAATAAGTATTATTGGTATTGACAAAATGTCTGTATTATCCATAAACTGCATTAAAATGATCCCATGTTGACATTCAGAGGTGGGACTTTCTGGCTTACAAGAGAAGTGTTTGGAAACAATTTAGAAAAAAAATATTCTGCATGTATGTGGTGATGAGGTGTTAGTGGTGCAGAAATGACTAATTTTGGCTCTCTTGGTGAATTCACAATATGTTGTCTCAATAGGAAAGCCAGTGTAGACAGTATGATTTCCAGTGAATTTTTAGGTGAACTATCCCTTTAAGCAAACAGCTTCTTTGGTTCCCACCTCCCACCTTGTGGAAATGGTAAAAGAGGACGAGAGCTCAGCGGGAGCTAATCCTCTAGGTCTTGTAGGACTTCCTCTTGTACGTCTTCAGCTAAAGGTAATCTGTGGTTCAGGAGTGGGTCATTGTTATCTCCTTGTATCCTCCTTAGTGTGGGGGCAATTCAGAATAGTAAAATGACAGGCCAGCAGAAAGATGTTTACACACACACTGTCCATCTAAATGTGGTGATCTGCAGCTTGGCACTTCATCTGAACCTCTCTGTTGTCTGTGGATGAGTGAAATGTCTTTTATGTGTTTTAATTCAACACATACCTTATGCTAGTGTCAAAATGCTATTGCATTTAATGAGTCCAAAAGCCATAAAAACAGAAGAGGATGCCGGAGGCATAGCACACACCGCGCTCATATACAACCTCCCCCCTGAGAGTTCTCCTCTAATCGGTCCCTAGGAGCCACAGGCTCCAACTTAACGGTTCCTCTCATGTTAATGGAAACCATTAACTTGGTTGCTGGAGTCAGTAACATCCTCATAACCAGTGTATGTATGTGTGTGTGTGCATACGTGTCTTGCGTTAAAGGAATGGCAGTTTTTAGTCTCACAAAAATAAGTATCCTGAAATATAATATGAGTAGCAGTAGATATCAGGTATTCAGTGTGTTTTTTACTATGTAAAATAGGTTTAAACCTTAGTGAGCTGCAGCCTGCTGTCAGCTGTATTTTCTAGCATAGCATGCTAACTGAAATTAAACCTCATAATCCCAGAATGCATTGCAACATTGACTGAATTGAACATTCTACATGTGCGCAAGAGCTCATGATTGAATTGTTTACTGTTGATTCTACAGTCTGATGTTAGCATGTTTCTAAGATAATTTATTATTCTAATAAGCTGAAAACAAACTTGGCACATACACATATTAAACGGTACATTTTTAACAAGATAACACTATTTTTGGTACTTTTAGGTTGAATAATGATAATGTAATATGGTCACTATTCTCCTCTATGCAGTGTTCCAGCAAGCTGTGCTTTGCTAAACTCGGGGTTTGTTTCTTTTATCTGGTTCTTCTGGCTGAAGATAACAGAATAGGGAGAAGAATGTGAGGCCTGGGTCTGATAGCACCGTGAGGGACTGTGAATTTCAGCTATGGGAAGCATGGGCTTATCCTCACTCTTAAGCCTGGAAGGCATTCAGGCATTCTTTCGCTTGTCCTTTCAGAGAAAGTTCAGCTAGACTTTGAGTCTAATGAGGCCAGACTGAGGATAGATGTGCTGCACACACGTTTGGTCTCGAGCCATCAGCGGTGTGAACTGCAGTTTGCCAGTATAATGATCTGTCAGATATTTGCTTGATGATTGTTGGCATGGGTTAATATTGATGTTAGTTACAGTCAGTCATAATATTTCAGTTGATTTTTGTTTATTTTTCAGTGGGTGACAGTTGGACGTGTTTATGCATGTTTGTGTGTGATTAATTATGTTTTGAGAAAATTTCATTTTTTTTATTGTTATTATTATTATAGAGGATGATTTATTATTATTATAAATAAATGCAAATATTATTACTTATTGTTAGCCATTATTAATAACTAATAATAACCAAAATTAGTATTGTTATTGATATTAATTAGTGCTGTCAAACGATTAATCGCGATTAATCGCATCCAAAATAAAAGTTTTTGTTTACGTAATATATGTGTACTGTGTATATTTATTATGTATATATTAATACACACATGCATGTATATATTTAAGAAAAATGTTGTTTGTATATTTAATATATTTATATGATATAAGTTATGAATATTAATATATACACATAAACATGTAAATATTTTCAAAATATATGCTGTATGTGTGTGTCTTTATATATATATATATATATACATAATAAATATACACAGTACACACACATATATTATGTAAACAAAAACATTTATTTTGGATGTGATTAATCATTTGACAGCACTAATATTTATAATAAATATTAGTTTTATTAAATATGTTAAAAAAGTTCTTTAAATGTTTTTGTTTTTTGTTTGGTTTTTAGTTTAGTTTAGTTTAGTTTTAGTTTTTGTTATTTTTTTGTTTTTGTTTAGTTTAGTTTTTTTAGTTTTTTTTGTCTAGTCCACCACAGTAAACTACTAATCTTTTGTTCTGTTCATCCCTAATTTGAGACTAATTTAGCATCCACCATCACAAGCTTGTCAATCAGGCATCTTTCATACCAGCGTCAAGATGAAAGAGGAAAGCATCATTGTGTTTACTGAATGTCCTTGTGGAGAGACATCTGTTTGATTTGAACCACATCCAGAGCAGTGCAAGAATCTGCTCTTTCTTTTTATCACTCTCTCCTTTTTTCTCTTTCTCTTTCTCCCTCTCTCTCTCTCTCTCTCACACACACACACACACACACACACACACACACACACACACACATATATATATATATATATACTCCACCCTTTTCTTCTGTTTTCTCATAGAAGCTTGAATACATTTTTTAGGTCCTCAAGAATGGCTGACTGGAGCTCCTGGCCTGATTCTTGCTCACAAATGTCTGGGTGTGTAGAGCTGGGGTGGAGGGGCTTGGCTGATGTGTGAGACCGAATGAGATGAAGGTGCTGTGGGGAAACCGAGCTGGATGCATGACTCTCTGAGATCTGAACGATAAGGAGCTTGTGTGAGTTTCCACAACAGCCCTTCGCCAGACGTGCATCCCTGGGGCTGAACCGCTTTACACATGGTGAGAAGAGGATGAAGGAGGGATGATGAAGGAAGCGATAGCCACAGAGCACATGGTGCTCATTTACTCTAGCAGAAATGCTGCATTCTGATGCGAAGGGCCAGACTCACCAGCACTTCTGGGCTGATGGGAGTTCAGTTTTCATAAACGCTGCAATCTCTCAGCTGCAATGAAAATCTCTTTCCAGAACAATGTTACAGTTATGAGTGAGATGGTGTAGCGATATTTCAGTGAAGAGGTCTGTGGAGAGCTGTGCTAGTGTAGAGCCTGTATAGGACGTCCTGCTGTGGGCACCAATGGAAGTCGGTTTGTTAGTTCTTTAAATGGGACAGTTCATACAATTAAAGGAACAGTTCACACAAAAATTTAAATTGTCATTATGTACTCACCCTTATTTCATACTCATTCCAAACTTGTCTTCTTTCTTCTGTGGGAAAAAAAAGAAGATATTTTGAGGAAACACTCAATGATTGTATAAAGTAGTGTAACTTATTTTGGTGTTTTGTGACAGTTTTTTTCCCTAGAATTGGATCGGAACAAAACACAGGCTGTATTCAAACCCACAGCTATCGCATTAGCACCACTGATCAAATCACGTAAAAAATGTTTATGCTTCATTTGCAAAGCCTTCCTTATATGGTATCAGCCCATATATGGTAGCATTTGAAAGCGTAGAGTGTCTTCTTTACAAATAATACCATTACTTTTTGGTTTTATGATACATAAAGCAGTAAAATGAATGTATTCGACCCACACACGAATTTCCACCTAATGATTGCGAATAATTTTTCAGAAGAATGTGTATTTTTTTATATTTTTCGCAAAACAGTCAAGTCATATATCACAAGAAAGCTCTCATTCTCAGGAATTTGAGTATGTATTATTTCATTGTGTGACAATCACAGATCGAATGATCATCAATAGAATCGTGATGTGAAATTTCTCACCTCTAAGCAAATTTTCGTATGGGTTACATTCCTACTTGTAGCACTGCTTCAGTCAGCCGCAAACAGCCACAAATATCTATATACTCTATATTAGCTTTTAGATTAGGATCTCTTCTCCATCGGTGAGATATATAGCGTTTTGTCCAGCTGCGCAACAGAAGCGCACCAGAGAAAAAAGACGCTCTTTTGGCAAACATGCGCTCTCCAAATCATAGCAGCTCCGGCCAGCGGCTCTTATGTTCTACAATACTGTGCTGCTCAGTGGGCGGCAATAGGTCAGATTATACGCCACTCAAGCACGCCGAGCCACTCAGAGCCGTGAAATTTGACACCTCTAGGTCAACAGACAGGAGGGGGGAGAGAGAGGATCCGGGTCAGCGCTGGAGCTGTTTTGAGCGTGGGTCTTGTAGATTTCTTTGACTGTTTTGAAGGCGATAATGCACGCTGGAAGACAAACGCATCGGCGGCTCGGGTAATGGCAATCGATGAACATTATAATGAAAGTTATATATGATGAAGAACGTTCATCAGGAGAGGACGCGTGTCTGTTGAGCACATATGAGCGCTTTTGCTCCGTTTTTTGATAGAATCATTATTTTGAAACGTAAAAGCACAGCTAACAATCTGATAAATGATGTATTGACAGTAAAGTACAGTACACGATACAAACATAAAAATGAAACATAATTCAGTCAATAATCAAGAAAAGTGCTATGGCACATAGTAAAATAGGATTCTGGGGGCAATATGATTTATAAAACCTGTTTTTAAACTCCCTTCGGTTATAATTCAATAACTCCTGTTTAGAAGCTGTTATTTGAAAGATAATTTTTTTCTGGCACATCTTGGCACCTAGTGGAATCAAACAATATAAGTTGCAGAGAGCTGGAGCAAATAGAACCTGAATAACAGACTTTCAAAAAAATAAAAATTCTGAAAAACAATCAAAAAGTAATATGTAAACCATATTCTTTGTTGTATTTTCCTGTCAAAATAACAGAGTTCATTTAGAATTATTCTGCTTTTAAGAACAAGCAGAAGATATGCTGGTTTCTCGGCAGTGGGCGGAGCTAATGCGCAAACAGCTCTCGTTTGCTGGCGCTCTTCTATTACCGTCCCTGATTTGATTTCAACAAATCAGTTCGAACGAATGCTGACAACGTGATTAATATTCATGAACCCAGCAGATAATAATAGTAGTAGTAGTAGTATCTTTTAATAATAATTACTATTACCTATGACCAACAATATCTTAAACACCACCACCAGTCCTAAGTTCAGTTAAAATTACAAATATGCATTCATTCATGGTTACCAAGTTTTAGTTCTAATCACTAGTTCTATCATTAAATAGTGCTTAATTATCATAATATCATAATATAATGCTTGATTGGCTGAAGT